TATGATTTCACTGTTTTCATGATCTGCTCAAAAACGGCACCCCGTTTAGTTTGTGAAATCGAGAAGTGCTTATCTAATTTAAACGTAGTATCCACGTGTTGGAACTGTGATGCTGCTAAGTATTTATGCAATTCCACTGTATAATAAGTTAAAATTGCTAGAAAGTAACTGTTGAGAGTAGCTTGGTATAAGCTGCCACCTTGACAAACGCACACGCTAGGTCTACTCCAGGCGTAAAGAAAGCCTTCATACCTATAGATTGTGAATGTAATGTTGAAAAAAAGAAAAACACAGGATCAGCGTGCCATTTGGACAGAAACCCTTAGAAATGCTTGACGGTTTGTAGGGGAACAGATGGAGGTATGGTAAATCAGTAGATAAAACTCAGGCTTGCGGCTATTTTTGAAGAATTTATGGTTAAGGAGTCTTCAGATAAGAGAATAAAGTGCTAAAGAACGGCGAGTTATACATGACCTCCCACTACCTCGAATCTCAGATTCAGGTATAAAGAAAACCAACCACAGAACGTGTGACTCGACATCATTTGTCGCTTGCAATGGTTCACTCAAAAGTGACACTTTTTTCGTGCACTTATTGAAATTTCGATAATGCAATGAGAAGACGAAGTTTATCAGAATTATGTGATATATTTGCGTATTACATTTCGAACATTCTCATCACACATATACTGAAAAACATTTATATATGAAAATTATAAGGTCAACTAGACAGGTTAAGGGTAAGTCATAACAAAGGAAAAATATTAAATTACACAAAAACAAATGTGATTACCACTCTGTATAATAAATCAGTATTACTAGGGTACGTCAGGTGTAAGGACAAACTGTTTTTGACGCATTAAGTGGTTTTAGTTTCCGTATAACCAAGGCTTCAATAAACCTTAGTAAAAGTCCTTGAAGGCTTTCGTATAACACTAGAAATGCTGATTTGACGTCAATCTTATGACCCGTCTCAATCGAGTGCTTTGCAATGGAGGATGATGTCTGTCTATTACTATCAGAAACTGTGGCTGACCTCAAGGACTCAATCAACGCCAAAACTGATATCATGTATCAAAGTTCGCAGATTATAAGCACATCTGATAGCAATAAACAATCCCTAACGACGACCCCGATTACCCCGATTATATTTTTTTATAAATACATGTTTCAGATCTATCGTGCCTATACAGTGGTTGACGTACGATCGGTTTGATTACAACTTTTACATTGTTTCATACTACCAGCTATAATGATGTTTTTACATCATTATTGTATTCTATAGGCACCAAGCGAGGTTAAACGTCCTCAAGGTTCATTGGGCATCGATCAAAAGACTAAACTGCGATTGTCAGAACTTAGCTGATTAGATGATGAAGTGTTGAGAGTAGTAGTGGATACAGAATTCGTTATGAGGTAAAAAACGTGCGGTCACAAACAAAAAGAAGTGAAGTGTGATAAACATATTGCACTAAGGGTTTCTAGTCGATTGCTAAAGTGAAGTGTTAATGAAAATATTATCCGAATACGGTGATTTAATGAAGTGTTTGACATAAAGAGGCAATGTTTCTAACAACTTGAACTTGCCTATAAGTGGGCATGCCTCACGCAACTTACGGTTATTGAAAAAAATTGGTATTACCATACACTGTTAAATTCGTGTAAAGAAATAGAGATAAAGGTAAAGACCACGCGGATTGTAATTAGGTTATATGCTATGTTCCTCATCACGCCGATTTAAAAGAGATATTAATGGGTTTACAAGGGTAACAAAAACGACTCCTTTGAGTCTACAATCTAGACAAATGTGTATGTGGAAAAAACACCAAAATAGAAGACAACAAGAAGTTATAGCAAATCAGTCTAATGTACTATTACATATTCGTAAATTTGTTTTTTTGGGGTTCCTCAAATAACATCGGACTACTAACAATCAAGGAGTAAAACTAACTGCTACGATCCGGGGAAGGTTAACGAACTTCTAGTCTGTATGTTTAGATTCGAAACTTAATGCTGAGACTAAGCTCCAATAAGCATTTTCGGAAGATTAATTATGTCACGGATACTCAGATCTTGATAACGTCACCGTTCGAAGCTTCTTTTTATTCCAGGCTCCAAAACTCAGTCAGATCAAAAGTGAGAAATGAGTGAGGTTTGTAGGTATGTATAAAAAGTGATCAATGAGTGGAGAAGTACATGAACAGTCTAACTGTTGCGGGGGCTGTACGGTTCAGCCTACCAAGACGTGATCAGTTGCAGATGTTTGACCAAGAGCCTTCAGCTAAGCTTGTTTCCAGTAGAACAAATGACGGGAGAATCAATATCGAAGACTTACGGAATTCTTTATTCTAAAGACTTAAGCAGTTTCAACACTTGGTCACAAAGTGCTCGATGTCTAATCCTAGGGGACTTTAATGCACCCATGGTAGACTGAGTAAATCTGCGAACTGAATCGTCAGAAAATTCCTTCGAGCAGGAACTAGTTGATGCGGTTATCACATATACCCTGGTGCAACATGTGCAAGAAACGACAAGGTACGACCCGGACACTGAATCATCCTTACAAGGTCTCATACTGACTCACTATGAGGATGACGTCACGAACCTCCATTACATGCCACCCCTAGGTAAAAGTGATCACGCAGTTTTAACTTTCGACTTCCATGTAACTATCAGTCACGGACACGCGTCAGCCCAATCCAGACCTAACGTCTGGAAAGCAAATATACCAGACATTATGCACTCAGCATCGTTAGTAGATTGGACAATAGACCTAGAGTCCTCAGTTGAAACGGCTTGGGACGCATTTCGAAATTCATACTTAAAAGTTACCACACCCCACATCCCTTGGACTATACCAAAGGAGCCGGAAAACTCTCGACCATGGTTCAGTAGGGAGGTCCGCATCCTTCTCCGCAAGAGAAGAAAAATGTGGGATAGATTTGGGTTACTGGGGACCGATGAGACAAAATTTCAGTATCAAAAAGCTCGGAATACTTGTGCTCTGACCCTTCGTAATTCTAAAAGTTGTACGGAGAAAAGATTGTTAAGAAATCCATAGAATGTCCTAAATGTTTGTATTCCTATGTAAACCAAAGGACAAAGAGAAGAGGAAATATTCCTGCTCTATGGGGACGACTTCGGTAAGGCTCAAATGTTCTCGAACTACTTTAACAATGTATAGCCATAGAATCACCCTTCCCGTCAGTTCATACAGATCCCACACATACACTGGATAGCGTGACCGTTAAAGAACTCGATGTCTTTGGTCTACTAAATAAGCTTAACATAGGTAAATTCACGGGGCCCGATGAATTACATCCTAGGCTACTGAAGGAATTATCTAACTTCGTTGCGAACCCTTTAAGTATATGCTTTAATCTATCCGTAACGCAGGGTCGTTTACCAAAAGACTGGAAGGACACCATAGTAAGTCCTGTCTTCAAAACAAGTACGAAACACAAACCTGAGAATTACCGCCCCGTTAACCTAACTAGTGTGGTTGTAAAAATATTAGAAAAGATTATTTGGAAGATGCTGTTTAGGTATCTCGATAAAGACCGGATCCTTTCGGAGAAGCAGTACGGTTTCAGAATAGGTCACTCTTGTTTCACTAACTTATTAGTGGCTCGTGAAAGCTGGTGCGCTCTTAAGGATTAAAAGTTACCTGTAGACGTCGCCTTCATTGATTTCAGTAAAGCTTTTGATAAGGTTCCGCACAACCGGCTGTTATATAAGTTAAGACATGTCGGGATTGGAGGTAATTTATTGATGTGGATAAAAGACTTCTTAGTTGGGCGTCAACAAAGAGTACGTGTGAACTCAAAAGTATCTAGCTGGGGAACCGTGTTTAGTGGAGTGCCTCAGGGTACAGTTTGGGGCCAGTGCTATTCCTCTTGTACGTAAATGACCTTCCTCGTCTCCTATCATCATCGGTCTTTCTATATGCCGACGATGTCAAGATATGGAGAACGATAGGATGTAAGGATGATAGCTTAGAACTCCAAAATGACCAGAAGAAATTATCTGAATGGTCTCAAACCTGGCAGTTGCCGATAAATACTTCCAAGTGTGTTGTGATGCATATCGGTCATTAAGGTACAGATACATTCACGATGAATAACACTGAGCTACCTGTCGTCCAGACATATAATGACTTACGAGTCATCGTCAGCCAAGACCTAAAGACTACTGCACACTGCCGTTCAATAGCCGCCAAAGGTCTTAGAACGTTATGGTCAATACGTAGGGCCTTTAGTCATGTCGACGTTTTTGACTTTGTATACAGTGTTCGTACGTCCTAAACTTGAGCACTGCATACAAGCGGCTAGCTCCTGATTAAAACAGGAAAGTGACCTTCTGGAAAAGGTTCAGAGAACGGCAACTAAGCTGATCGTCGGAACAGCGAAGCTTCCGTATGATGCTCGACTGGCCAAGCTAAACCTTTTCCCGTTGTCATATCGTAGAACTAGAGGCGACTTGATTACAGTTTTCAAATTGCTTAGTGATAAATTCGCACCTGATATGCCCTCATTTTTCTTGACTTCCAAAACAGAGAATTTACGAGGACACTCCAAAATGTTCACAAGCCCAGAACAAATTACTTGTCAGCTGTCTATCGACTTTCCCATCGAATCATCAACGAGTGGAATTCATTACCTCAGCATGTGGTTGAGGCTCCATCTGTCGATTCTTTGAAAAGAAAGTTGGATCAACTGACAGACCACCATTGCCAGGACTAACACAAGCCATCAAGCCTTCTGTCCTTTCCAAACTGAAACTGATTTATCGCCACCTGATGTTAAAAAGCTATTTAAGATTTCCTATTAGTCTCGTGTTCTATAAGACAAAAAATGTGATTGTATCAATCAAATGGTTCATTATAAGTGAGGTTTGTAGTGACCTTCGAGATGAATTTTGTTATAATGCATGGGAGCTCAAAGGGAGTGATTTAGCTCAGTTTTCATCCTTGTGTTTTGTTTACGTGGGAGAGGTGGCTTCATGTCCCTTTCACCGTTGAGATCCGTTCTCAGTAACTTTCGAAAGCCTGCGTTCGCTTCTCAGTCATGTATCAGCCAATGTCAGTCCATGTTATCATCAATATCTGGCAGACAGAATCAAAATATTTCAGTTACTTCGCATGACGAACATACTAACTCTAGTAACTAACTCACCTATATTATTTATTTTGAGGTAATAACCAAACTTTTAGTTTCAGAGATTCAAAACTGGCCCATGTGGCTAAGTCAAATTCAGAAGTTATTCGTGCATTACTAGTTTTCAAAATATGCTCCTTTCCAACACTTGTTAAGTATAACAAAAAGGTATATTGCTATTCTCACCACATTGCTTAGCTTATGGATATTTCCAGGAAAATATTTGGAAGGTCGTTGTTTCGGTTAATAATGAAGATGACATTCTATGGACATTTTGTTGCGGGTGAAAATGAAGCCAGTATTCAACCATTAATTATGCGTCTCAAGAAGTATGGAGTGAAGTCAATACTTGACTATAGTGTTGAGAAGGACATACAAGAAGATGAGGCCGTCCAGATAGTGAAGTCAGTCAGGGAAATGATATTTCTAATAATGATGTGCCGTGAATTTCGTCTCAGTTTTTGTTTTCACTACCTTAAAAACACTAAAAGATCAAAATAATCAGATTTAGAGTAAATTTGTATCTAAAAACTAGTTTAAATATTTATTTTCAAGCTTTCGTATTCACATATATGTATGCGTTTAGTGTTTCGACCAACAAAGATTCAGTTGCATTTATTCTCTCTTACAGTAGGATTCTTCACATTCTCTATGTCGTTTACTTAAGGGTTTAGATAATGCATATTGGTTTGATTGATATTAAAATACTTCAAACCTGGAACACTGATATTAAAAACGATCGCAAACTTTTGTACGGTTTTTAGCAGAGTACTTGATTCCCTCAGCAATATACTGAAGGTAAGGCCACTAAAAATGCCACAGATATTCAGGGTTTTACATTGAATTTTCCATGACACCTTTGTAATCGAAGGATACTAACCCAGTCAGATTGGAAGTCAGAAGTGAGTGAATCCAAAGATATATTTGAAAGGCTGTCAGTATGTTCAGAAGCGTTTGATCTTATCTGGTTAGTAGTTGTAAGGGATGCAAAACACGGCGTTCCTACTCGTGATCTGGTTCGGACGTGTGGCCGGGCGCCTCTAGCTGTGAGTGTCCAGTAAAACTATTAAGTCAGCATCAATGTCGGAGACTTACAGAACTATTTATTTGGGAATTTATTTACCACTATACGTCTGTCAATATCGGTCTTCAATGTCTTTGTTTGTTCATTCTTGTTCCAGGTAGATGATTAATTGTATGCACATGAAGTAGATTTACATTGTTCCCCGGTCACTCGGATTTAGATTTTCACTAAATTTCGCAGTTTCCTTTCAATGATAAGTTGAATTATCATTATACTCACTAGTTGGTTAAGTTGATACTTTCATTTTAGAAAAAGCTTAAGTGAAGTGTTACAAACCCCCGAAAAACGACCAGAGGCAGCCACTAAACAGTATCAAATCAGTGTTCGGTTCGCCAATCGTACGAAGCAGGTTGTTGGGGCTCGCTCGTACTTTTATAAGTCTGAATATCAGTGTGACCATAATATGGAGACATTTATGAAATGTATTGATGTTTCTTCAAAATACGGTGAAGATCGTGGTTTTACTGCAATTAAACTTACAGCACTCGGACGACCCCAACTTTTGGTAAGAGTATCTTGTCATATTTAACGATTTAGCAACAAATGTCTGACTTTTTAGTGCAAATGAAACGACTGTTCTTCTTACTTACCAAAGCGGATAATGGACAGAAAGGTGGACTTGCATCGCTTGATCTAGACAATTTTCGTAAAAAACTGGAAGCATTAGGCGTGAAAATTGCATATGATGAAGAAGTTAAGTGGTTTACTTTGTTGGATGTCTCTGGAGATGGGTATGACTCTGAGTTTGTCAATAATTTCTTTAGTGTTTTAGATTTACTTGATTGGAGTCACTTAAAGGCTTTTGAATACGACCTTGCAAGTCTGTTTATTCTAAAAAATAAAAAGGTGAGGTCACTTTTTTATACCAAATGGTGACTGGAGAATTATAGTGGTAGCTTTATGGATATTTCTGTCAGCTACCAATCAGTCAGCTTTTTAACAAATTGGTATGAAGTTTCTAAGGATTTTTCACAGTTCCATAGTTTTAATTAAGTATTAGTCACTGTAGTTTAGTACATAACTGTGTCAGTGCAAAGGCTGCAGGTCTTATGGTGTATGACTAACTAATCTCAATTAAGCCGAAGTAGAAAAGATAAAGTCTGCATACGTTTTTAAAAGCACAGAGAAACACCCTTTTATCAGCTTAAAATGCTCTTAGTTTTAGTTACAGTCCAAAAGATTCATCTAGATATTAATTTTTTAAATAATTATAAATTAGTTTATCAGTTGTAAATTACCATATAACTATTGTTAATAATCTAATTTTCAAGTATTTATCTTATAAAGGTCTTTCGTTATTTCACCCTCATTCTAGACTGGTGAAGTAGAACAGCTTGTACCTACACTTACAACTGAAGGTATTGAGGAAATGCGGAATATGATAAAACGTGTCGATACTTTAGCAAACGTAAGTATTGTTTTCCAAAAAGTTTCTTGTCACTACGTAGAGTACAGTCTAGCTTATAACAGAACCCTTACTAATGATGGCTTTAAGCCTAATTTCGACAAGTACACGTTGAATGCGATAAGGTGTTACAGTAAGACATGACTTCTTATTTAGAAATCTAAAGCAAATTATCCATTCACAACTGTCTTTACCCGTATATAGTTTTAGGGTCTAATACTATCAACCGTAGTAATTTTGATCAATATAACGATGAATTTACCCTGCGACGTTTTTGCTGATAACTCGGTTTCACAGTTTATTTTACGTTTTTTACTGCTACATTGTGGTAGTTATCTTCCTAAATGACACTTTGACCATATTAGTAATGAGATTCACTCGATGATTTCACCACACATAACAACTTTGGTCGGACACTTAAACACCATAGAGATAGGTTACTAACCTTGACGCTAAAATACTATCACTTGCAAGAAATTACCATAATTCTCCAAAAGGACAGAAATTCAGAAACACGTTTAGAGATATAACCAATCTGTTCTGACTGTATAAGATGCCATGTTCTGGCATATTCGGACAATGAGACCTACTTGTCTTAATGATTCTCATCTGATTCGTCAAGGGGACTCAAGATACCCTGTATCTTATTATTCCCAACTAACACGATTGTACTTTCTAATACTCTAGGTCGATTGGAGGATCCTCTTGTTAGATATTAATCCTAGAAATAATGGAGTTAGCTTCAAACACTTCCATGAGCAACTACACAGCCCTATGAGTTTAAATATAGTGCTTTTATTGTACATATGTGTAAATGATCGTCATCCATCTCCTCGTTAAATATTCTCAAATTGCTTCTCTATCAGAAAGGTCAAGTACCACTTCCAGGTCAAAGAAAGTTGACAGTACTCAGCTTCGGTACATTTGTATTTCTACACTCGATGATGGGTAGAAATATGACGGATATTGATCCGTATGGCCCTAAAGCCTACTTAGCTTCCACACACTTGGATTTTCTGGTTTTCAATTAGACGTAAAATGACTGGACCCTAGGTTTATAGTGTCTTTGCTACCCAAGCTAATTCCTAAGTGATTATTCCAAGAGGACTTTGATTCCTAACTAACTAGTATAGTCGACCTTAAAAAACAATTTGATGGTACCATCTTTGATTTCCTATCCCTACTTAGTCCCTTTTTTAGTCGAACGAAGAGTTCCCGTTAGCTGTCCTTGAAGCTCTTAAATTGAAATATCTACTCCCACTAGTTTTATTAACTTTAGTTTGTTTACAACTCTGACAACTCCAGTAAAGGTTCAAAAGGTAATCTTAATATTCTAAGTAAATTGTCATTTGAGTATTGACGAATAGATCATGGCTGTAAATAATTAAAATCGTCCCTTTGAATGTTTCGGGTGTCTGTTCTAAGAGTCGACGACCCATCATTTCTGACTATCGTGTCACTGGTTGTTGCTTTTTGGTTATTCCTCTTAAGAGCCTCAACAGCCACCAACTATTTCTTAAAGTATTTGCCTCTTACATCAGTTTTGCTATTCGTCTTTCTTTGCAGACATTATATAAATGTCAAGCCAATTCTCTTTAACCTCATTGTATTCAGAGTGAGTGATCTACACTTTTTCTATTACATGGTGCTTTGCTGTTCATCTTGTGGTGGTCCGATTAATTTTCTTCACATTTCTCAGTAAGGTTATCTTCGTAGCCGTAGTTCTATCAAGGTATTCCATGCAAACAGAATATCTTTCCAAGTAACTTACAACTACTTTTACAGTTTCCATTGTTTCACTTGAAGTCATGACCTTTTCTTTTCTGATGACATTTATTTCTATTTCCTTTTGCACTAGTCATTCATAATAATTTGTAAAAACACATTAATGAAAATTTTTCACTGGCGTTTATGTCACAACTAAGACGACTTACTATGATTGATTGAACAATAGTTTTTTAAAAGTTGTAATTACTAGTAGATATAATAGTTCATATTCACTTTATCTTTCAGTATGCAAAATCTGTTGGAGTTCGAGTTATGGTGGATGCAGAGCAATCATATTTTCAACCTGCTATAAGAAGATTGATTATAGAAATGATGCGTCTATTTAATAAAGACAAGGCTGTAATATTTGGCACTTACCAGTGTTATCTGAAGGTTTGTTTCATGAAATTTATTTGAAATTATTCGAGTAATACGTCTGTCTTATTTTGAATTTTTTCAACAGCAATTATAAGTACTTTTAATAGTGAATAATATTTTTTTGGTTCACTATTTTAGTGTTTAGATTGTGAACACAATCAGACCTCTAGTTATTTAATTTTGCTGTTCTCTTCACTCGCCCATTCAAGATGAATGTGGTGTTTACTATTCGTTAAGAACACACACTACTACCTTGATAAATACAAGAAAATTCAAAATATAGTTCCTTAGCGTATCGTCGATTTCCGATAAAAAACTTACCATAAGACTTCAATATTTCTAATTTTACACGTTCATCATGCAAATTAGTATCATAAGCATCATGAAGTGTACTAACGATTGGCTTATTATTCCGAAAATTTATTTAGTACAAGAGATCTTTTTGTTTAGGATAACTGACACGTCATCATTTCTATGATATGGAAAAGGTATCTCATTTTTTTACGAAATGATCTTTAACATTACTCTCGAAATAAGATTCTCAACCGTTGCTTCTACTTTGACGTGGTGGTCGGACTTGCCTATCATAATGAACTACTCGAGCTATACTGGCTGAAACAATCGCTCCCCAAGGTCCTACCATACCAGACAGGTGGATTGAAGAGCGGTAAGGCTAAAACCAGCAAACCATAGGTCCGAGGGCGAAGTCGAGATATCCGTCTATCAATTAAGGGGTCACCAGGTAAGTAATAGTGAGGTTAGACGCAGATTATTAGGGAATGATGGTAAATGAGTTGATGAGGTTGTGAATCTCCATCTACTGAGATGGTTGAGCCACGTGTTACGTTTGCCTGAATACCGATTACCACGACGCGCAATGCTTTATATCTTTCTCCCATTAATCCTTTCTTCGTGTACTATGTCCTCATATGCAATCTTTTTTATATTGTCACCACTGAATTAACTAATTCTATGAATTTAGTGTTCATCTTGTTGTGCTAATGAGATGTGGCAAGTTGGGCCGATGCATATATGTGCCTGGTCGTATGCTGTAGCTAATTGACTGACGAAATAAGATTTTTTGGAAAAATATGAGGTAGTTGCTTGATTACTGACGTGATTTCACGAACGTGATATCCCAAAATTAAATCATAATTGATGGCCATAATTTAGACGAAGTGTGAACACGACAGTGAAAGCTAACTGTTCGCTATCTCATAGTTCTTATTTTTTTGATTGATATTACAATGATAATTTGTCTTTATTGAAGGGATAGCAGTAGCAAAACTCTGGCTTTTATCGTACTTAATCAATGTTATCTAGTTTCACATGTTTTTAAACTTGCTAAGGAGTAAACCATCGTTTATGGTTAGTTCAAATTCTTGAGCAGTATCAATTTGGAGGGTGATATATCTGCTTATATAGAAAGCTATAATAATTTTCACAAACTCCTTGAGTCCTATATTTCAGCATAAATCAAAGAAACGACACCATGGTTAACCTTAGCATATTATAAACCTATGGAGTGTACGACAGATCTAGTTTTATGCTCTGAAAACCTTGAAAATTAAATGTTATCAAACGAATCTATTAAGACATCTGTTAATTTAGATCTTCAAAATAATCAAAAGTGTATTTTATTAGCACTGATTTGAATGCAGTAAGTATTGTCGTATTTCTTGAAACTGGGAATTAAATCTATCTTGTTTTTATTTATTAATCCCTGTTGTATTATTGTCTTTCTTTTTTTCAAAACCATTTTCTATGTCAAGTGCTTGGACTGATAAATTTTCTTTTTATCAAATTATTTTAATTACTTAACCATAAATTCTGATTACTAATGTTTTGATCGCTGAATATATATTTATAAGATACTGGGATGAATAAAGGCGACTGAACTAATCACTTCTTTATTAAGCCAATATTCAGGATTATCAGTTGTATATATATATTTCAATAGATAAGAACCATTAGCTAAGTGACTGAGTATTTGCATATGTATTAATAAAGCTATTTATAAAATATTATGACAATTATTAAAACTGATGATCAGCAATGTCCATAAAAAGTTAAAATAAATAACTTGGATTTTAATTCAGCCCACTCACAGAGCACGAAAATTAATGTGGTAAAAAATCTAATGAACAGAAGTACTAAAATTGTTACAGACAAGGAAGACCAACGAACCGAATTGAATAAAGTATTTTCTACTCTTAGGGATAACAACTACCCAAAAAGGTTTTTAAAGAAGATTATTAAAAATGAAAGAAAAACTAAACTAGAAAGTATACGAAAAGAATGGAAGTACACCGTAGTCATACCTTACCGGAGTGAAACATCAGAAGAAATCAAAAGGATTCTAAACAAATATGATATAAGAGTGTATTTTAGAGCAAATAACACATTAAGATCGACATTGGTGAAAGTTAAGGACAAATTAGCAAAGGAAGAACAACAGAACATTGTGTATGAGATTCACTGTTATGACTGTAATGCTACCTATGTTGGAGAAACATCCAGGCAATTGAATGTAATATTGAAGGAACACAAACAATGCTTGAAAAATGTTCCAAAATCCTCGGTCGATTTAAAGAAACTTGAAAATAAGTCAGCGATAGCGTTACATGCGTTAGAAACAGGGCACAAGATTAACTTTGAAGGGACTAAAATACTTCAAAAAGGTTTTAACACCCATAAAGAAAGATTGACAGCAGAAGCACTGCATATATGGGCGAACAAGAACAGTCTGAACCGAAAAGATGGTATTCAACTGGCAATTACTTGGCAAATTTCGTTTGACAAGTAAATTTGGAACCTATATCTTGTTTAAACCTGTTTTTTGTATCACATGCATCGTTATTATTATTATTGAAAGAACTCAATGAGTATTTTAAACAATACAATTTATGCTTTGACATGTACATCGATGTTTCATTATCAGTTTTTCATCCATGAACTTGAACTTTATTTATTCCTTCATATCAATCTGTTACGCATACATACATACATACACACTCACACACATACGATTTGTTACTCAGTTAAGTATTTCCATGTAGTTGAATTCTTCACATGATTTGTAGTTAACTGACTCATTTTATACGAATATTCGTCATTTTATCCTATTTTACAAAGAAATCAACATCCAAATATGATTGGTTTAACACAGTATAATCTTGAATGTTAAAAAGCTATATATTTCACAGGTTGAAATCATGAGTCAGTTGAAGCTAGACCACCATTGAAAACCTGGAAGCACTGGACAGCCGTTTCGTCCTGGTATGGGACTCCTCAGCAGTGCGCATCCACGATCCCGCACCACGCGGGGCTCGAACCCAGAACTTACTGGCTTCGCGCGCGAGCACTTAACCACTAGACCACTGAGCCGGCATCCAACGGTGTTAATGTCTAACTTCAACCAATCCACGAAGTTGCGCCACTGTACACCATTGTCTTCAGTGAGTTGTTATCTCACAACAGACCGGTTGAACTCCACTGGTAACGGCTTCTCACTAGAACTTCAGGAGTTTTTCCTGAAGTCAGTCACTAGTGAGCAGTTGATTATTATCAGAATGGGTTTTGTGGAGATTTTAGAAATTTCACAGATCGAAATCATGAGAAGCCGTTACTAGTGGAGTTCAACCAGGTCTGTTGTGAGATAGGAACTCACTGAAGACAATGGTGTACGGTGGCACAACTTCGTGGATTGGTTTGAAAAGAGCAAGAACAAACATTCCAGTAGAATAGCATGAATTCATTTTTATTTCGTAGGTTCTCGTCAGCTGCTTACAACCTGTGATATTTAAGAATCATAATTACATAATTAGTTTAAATGACTTACATGAAAGAGTTTGATTGGAAGTTATATTGAAGCCATATTCGTATAGTATAGCAAGAGTGTAAATAAATTTCATAGACTGAATTTTGTAAATAATATACCTTATGTAACAGAACATTGATAGGAATAAAATGAGTAGAGTTTAGTTGATAAAATAAGATTATTAATTTGGAATAAAACACAATAATGTGATAAGTGCAAGAAAAAGAAAAAGAAACATAATAAGATACAGCAAAAGGAATATCAGTCACCAAGGCAAGAAAAGATTAATAACCATCTCCTTTTTTAACATATAAATCAGGTTTTTGTCGTCTGATAGCAACTGCTTCAACTTTTTTTTTAAAATTAAGTTTATCTAAATTAAATGATAGTGGTCAAATAATAAAACTTTCAAAAGAAATTCCGAAAAAAAAATTGTTTTTTTTAGTCTACTACTAATTAATACTGATTTTATGTGTTAAATAATTTTTTTTTGTTTCACATATGTAATTGGTTGACCTAAGAACATCGACAAATTTATTCATTTTTAATAAATTAGTTTCACTTGGAAACAAACAGAGAAAAAGACAAAGTATGAAAATGAATGAAGAATTTAATAACTAAATATAGAACTCCAATTTTTTTCTAAAAATATAATTATATTCTGACATAAACTAGAATGCAAACCACTATTCCAGCTAAACAAGTTGGTGAAGCTTAGTATGCCCTTCTGGAGAGAAACAGGCCATATTGAAGCACAGCACAACTACTCGGCCTAGAATAGCAGTTTTTGCAATCGGTTGAAGTTTGCCCCGTAAGGAGTAATACCGTACATTACATGTGCCACTTTTGTCAATTTTTTTGTCGTTTTTCTATCTAAGTGTAATTGTGTTGTGATTGCTTGTGGATTTCGTAATTGGTTGGAGGGTATCGGTCGAATGGGTGATTATCCCTATCTCTACCATCCAGGCTACCGCTTACGTTAGTCCATAGGACTGAGTTTCACTATCCAGGAGGCATGACGAGGACGTGTGAGTTGGATTTTGACTCCTGGCTGAGACATTTAACCAAATTTATTTTATATTGAAGTGGTGTAAAGCTTTGGAAATAAGTATACTGACCTGTCCATGTATTCTTTCTAAATATGTTTCGTTTTATGGAACCGTCTATCCTTCTAGAAAGTAAGGCATCAAGGAAAGCTATACTATTGTATTTCTCCTCTTCGTCGGTGAATTCAATAGCTGAGTGAACGTTATTGAAAAAGTTCAACATCTCTTGTTTGTCGGTACTCTCATCACATACGATTAGTATGTTATAATAATATATTTCTACAAGGACGCCGTTTTTATAGGCATGATCTACAAATTACATTTATAAGCTCACAGTGTGCATCCCAAGTAGGATTGTTAAATAAATATAATCTATAAAAGTGAATATTAGTTCGTTCGTACAGATGTCTTGGAGTGTTATTGATTAGGTTTATGCTTTAGTATTACACTGAGTAATCTTCAAATTATTTTCACGTGTAAGTCGGGTTTTACCTCCTAGAGTACAAACAACAGTCATTCATTTTATCTACAATGTAAAACGTTATAAATCTAACTTAAATTAACAATGAATGTTAACTTTTAGAATTTAAAGATAATAAAGTTAATTATCTAAATATTTTATGAAGTTATCCTTGTTTATTATTATCAGTGAATAAACAAGAATGAAAATAAAGGTCATCAAACAATCGACAATTATTCACTTTCACTCTTCATAACATAATTGTACAAGTTATGGATATTGCATTATATTTCATATAAAAGAATAAAATAATGACTTGTCTATTTAAGGCTTTCATTTCATTTCTTTTTTTAATATTCTTGATAGGAAGCACTTGAATCACTTACTCAAGACTTAAATCATGCTGCTACAGAAAACTTTTACTTCGGTGCAAAGTTAGTTAGAGGGGCTTATATGGATCAGGTAAATATACATCCATTTTTCTCAACCACTTTTTGTGTTTACCTTCTTTATATGCCACTATTATTGTATTTGTACTGAATTGGGATACATTGTATAGTTGTGAAGAGTAACTAGTGCAATTGACATATTGGTTTATTATTACTATGGTTTAACATTTAGTCAACAGTTCGAACGTTCGAACCTCGTTCTTATTTACTTCACTGTAAGCAACTGGTTGGTATCACTAGCATTCAAACCCAAATTGTGACTTAAAAACTGATTATACTAATTCGTTCCTGATAATTGAATTTGTGATTGTTACTCCTATATCAGATACTTACCACATCTCATTACATTAAAATTAAACTGTTTATCTAATATGTTTAATCATATTTAAGACTGTTTTACAAATATCGATCTCTCTCTCAATATTAATGTTATTGCCCTTTTACTTCTAATTGCAAACTGGAAAAGTTTGTGATAGATCTAGTTAAACAGGTGACTGTATATTATATGGTGTACATTGTACTTTTAAATATATCAGTGTATTCTATTTTACTTTCACTATCACTGGAACCAATTTACTATCAAGTGTTTGCTATAATTAAAAAACAAACAAACTGTAGGGTATACTATTTCTTTTATAACCAACTATTCATGCTCTATTAAGGGTTAAAGCATCATGTAATTATTTGAATGAATAGTCACAGACTGGTCTCAGCTAGAGTTTCATTGGTAGTCAGGATGTACCAGACATGTGTTTCATTGTAGTATGGGACTCATCAGTAGTGTGCACTTAACCCACAAACACTGGGTCTCATTTAGTAACTATTTGAAATGGTTGGGTCGTCATGTGTAGGTGCTATAACAATTCAAAGACAAGTATTTACTGTTAAAAACTTAGCGACGTTTTCGGTTTAGTTTATTTGATACGTTTGAGTTATCCAATATTGTTATCAGTTATTTTCTCGTCCCAATATGTTAACCATATGTTGTTCATAGTATTATAAAAAAGCATTATTTATCAGAATACACGCACATTAAAGTCTCCCCACAAGGTCGTAAGCAGATCATAGACTGAAATTAAGGTAAAGTAAAATTTGTCGAATAACTGCTAGCGATTAATATAGCTCAGAACGCCTTGATGGCAAGTGGACCTTCCTCTTAGGATCATCAAAATTTGATTAATATTCCTACCAATGCTCACCAAAATGTTGATCCCTACTTAGTTTGGGTGAACTAGTTTTTTTTTAATATTTTTCTTTAGAATCTACAATAAAAAACCTCATGTTGCAGGCAAAAATAAAACTGACGTATCAGAGAAAACCATTAGATATACTGAATATAAGAAGACTTAAGCTCCATGTGACAACTTATTTATCAAAAACCAAATAAAAGTTTACAGGATCGTTAATGGAATACGGCAACTTGAACGGATTTACATTCACACTAGGTTATACATAGCGTTTGACTGATTGACCAATAGTTTATACATATTTACAGGCAACCAGACTGGTGGGAACAAGTGAAAGATGATCTTGGCCAGATTAATGTTGTCTATTCATTTCATTCCCCCATACACATACACACTTGTATCTCTCTTATCGCATAACTAGCTCTTTAGAACCTATTACATTTTTCTTAAACGAAGTAGGCCAACCGTATGTAAAACTTGTAAGATATAGCTGTGTCCTTGTACAAGATGTTACCGCACATCATGCTACATGTGTTCTTAGTTTTCAACTGTCTTCAACAAGATAAATATTACCATAACCTGCACTTGGCTAAGCAAAAGTAAGCTCAAAAATGTTCAAAATTACTCCATGACGCTATTGCCCCAAACACTTAAACCCCGAATATGAAAAAACTACATAGCCTGCCAGAAAAAATACCACTCTGTAATATCTAGTTATTCTTTTGAGTTATTATTCATTATATTGAAATAATCGTAAATTAAAACAAATTTCAGAATTAAATGAATACATTGTAGAAATTATCAGAATGCAAAAGAAATAACATAATGAATTATTCAATAATGTTACTCATGATCACTTATTATCATATACATCTGAAATTCTATAAAAAAGACAATCTAAATAACCTGTAGCAATGAATATATTGGATACTTACTTACTTACGCCTGTTACTCCTCGTGAAGGAGCATAGGCCGCTCACCAGCATTCTCCATCCAACTCTGTCCTTGGATAGATAACTACTAAAATGATGTCGTTATTTGTATTTTAATTGGTTGGAATTTACATTTTTATTCGAACTATGAAAATGTTAAACAGTTTAATCGAATATGTACATACAACTACAACCTTTTATTTTATAAGATAGTCCCATACAAATAAGTTAGTCAGTCAGGGAGGTTGATTATGAATACAGTGATCTTGAGTGCTGTTAGAGGTGAGGTATGAGGACGGTTATCACGTCTCGGTTGCCCACACCGTGGAAGGGTTCTTCTATCGGTCCCTGAAAAGGAAATTGTGTTAGAGGTGGTATTGGTGACCTGAGGGCGTGACCGCAGTGCCCAAGGGACAACTGCTTGAGGCCGGTCACAACCGACCATTTTGTGAGTAATTTTTGTTTCAGCTCCCTACTTGTCAAGACCTTACCGCTGGAGACGGGTATCCATGGGATAAGGCGAGGTAAGTATTTTTACGGTCGAATTTTTCTACCCCACCATTCCTTGTGGAAAGGCGTCATCACTGTTATGCTGGTTGTCTGAAGAAAACACCATACTACTGTCACACCCCTATACAGTCATCAGTACGACTTCGCCCTCGGACCTGTGGTTTGCAGGTTTTAGTCTTACCGCTCTTCGATCGACCTGTCTGGTATGGTAGGACCTTGAGGAGCGATTCTTCCAGCCAGTATATCTGGACTAGTTCATTATGATAGGCAAGTTCGACCACCACATCAAGGCAGCAACAACGGTCGTGATATAAATAAGTAGTACTTTTTTAAATAAAAGAATATCTACGTTGCTTTATTCAATGTTTAGTTAATAATCATATTTTTGCGTGAGTTGTAAGCCAGGGTTTAGTTCTAAATCATTTGTTATTATTCTTCAGGGATTAAATTTTACTTGATTCCTAGTTTTCATTTCTCGTGTCACCTTCATTCAATGTATCAAAATAATAATGCAGAAAACTCTGGAAAATCTCGTTAGTACAAGCAGACAATTAATTAATCAAATAATGAACGGGGTATTTATTTCAACTTATTAAGCTAAACTAATTTGTCATACATGAAAGAGGTTTCAACTAGTCACTCTGATTGTTCGAAGTTATTCAGGCTGATAAAATCATTATGTAGTTTAATTGCGATCAAGAAAAAGATTTTTGTTATATCTCTACGAAAATAATGAATGGTGACTGTTGGGATCTATTTTTGGACTAATACTATACATATATTTTTATTGTGTAATCGTTAAGTGACTAGATTATGTATATTCATATTCCTCTTATTACAAGCTTTATTTTGACCTGTAGACTATTATTATACGATTTACCATTCCTAAGTTATGCCCCGTTTATTAATTACATTTTCCCACAATCACAGCCAATTTTTGGCTTGATTTTGTACAAATGTTATTTCCTATTTTGTGGTACGATATGGTATGTTTGGTTTGTATATAAGCCTAGTATGTTTGAAATATACGATTCATATCTCGGGTGTCGAGATTAGTGTTCCAGACTTGACAGGCAGGGAAGAGAACCAACCAGGGCGCCGGGCTGTTCGTTCAGGTGTAGGCGTCATTTGTTGGTCATATAAATCCGCATGTTTTAATTTTTTGCAATCGTATAAGCTAAGAACATAACACTTTTGTTCCCCTACACTTTGCAACTCCTCTCTTCCTTGAATAATTCATTTTTTAGGTTCATTATGCTTACAGTAGGCACAGATACCTTAGGGTTTTTAACTAACATCAAGTCATTTATCCATGTGTTCCTTTTTCATAATAACTTTAAAGCTTCTTTATAATTCTTGTTGTAGGAGCGTGCACGTGCCAAAGAGTTAGGGTACGAAGATCCAATTTGTTCAGACTTCAACGCTACAACAGCCATGTATGAATCATGTCTAGAGGAGGTGTTTAAAGCTATTAAAAAACGCAGAAGCGGTCAAGTTAGTGTTATGATAGCTAGTCATAATGAAGATACCGTTCGATATGCTTTAAAAAAGTTAGTAGTATCTATTAGCTTAGTTTATCCCATGTCTTATTTCATAACGTTGCTCACAAAACACATTTTTACTGTTTTATTTTTTCCCATTCTAGTACCCTGTGTAGATAAGTGACTGATGAAAGCAAATAATTATTAAATTCTAAACTTAAGTGAAACAATTTTATACAAGTAGTATAAGATAATTATCTGGCTTTTTTTATATTTCTCGATTTACTTGTTGCTTTCAAACAAAATAATCACTTCACTATGTAGCAGGAATCAATGATAGTCTTAGGAAGCAGAAGAAATCTAATCAACAAACCATCAATGTAATCGGAGCATAATTTATTCACAACTAGCGAATGATAGATTTAATAGTGCAAATCTATCAATGCTGAGGTCATTCAGCTATGATGTAAGCAACCAATCATAGGAAAGGTCATAAATATAATGAAAACAACTGTTTTAGTGGAATATCATTGATTTAATGTAATAAAGGGACACATTATTTGTGAGCAGAAGGTGGAAATGATGAACAGTTATTCGGAGTTAAGTCATTTTGGGAATGTTGTTTTGAATTTATAGGTTGTAAAGGTCATGTATATTGCCTAACTTCATGTCAGGTCGCAGGCAGACAATGTCTCATAATTTCCGGAACAAGATGTAAAGATTAGGAGATGTAAAATGAGTATGAATCAACTAAGCCTATCGTCCACAACCATACTTATCAGTGGTATTTTCCATTGTTTACCCTATTCCAGCCATGAAGGATGGTGAAATCTTCTTGAAAAGTCAACTTGATTATCTGGATAATGTTTTTATTAACTCGAGCGGCAAATATACCGGAGGGAGATGTATGTTTTCAGTGGGTAACTGTATGTTAAGCCCCAAAAACTAAGTTGTTGGAATTTGTTACTGTTTAGTAAGTGGGATGGATCTCCAGCTCTGGATTTTCTGCAAATTCGCATTACATGCACACCAAAAATACATAGGTCAAATTAGTCTATGCACACCATAGCATACAATATAAATGCCGTGATTATGAGGTTGACATGGTCTTCACTCTCATTTTCGATATTCGCTACTTTGTATTAAAATTCCGGTTGATTTGGAGCAAGTACATATTATATGTACACCTGAAATACACAAGTCAATGATATATGTACTGCGAAGCGTACATTTTTTGTACAAGTATACAATACATGCACATATGAAACAAGCCAAATCTATATATGCTTTCTATAGCGTATACATAGGTATAAATTCTGAGCACCCATTCATCCGTCACGAGTTAAACATGGGCTTAGTTCAGAAATTCTGTCGAATAGTTAATGTGATGGGAATAGAAGAAAATATTATTCAGGTCAATATTGTTTTGGGATCACTTTATTACGAACTTCGTTTAATATGACAAGTTTGGACTTTCTTTTTCACTCTGTATCATGGGGATAGTTTTGGCTCCCATTAACCAGTATAAGCAGTAGGATGGAATAACTATTAAATCCCAGTTGTCCAGTAAAAACAGTAAGACCGCGGACCCAACAGAGTTCACCCAGATATAACGGCGATGACTCTCCATATATAACACTTAGAGATCCGGATACAACATTAATGAAATAGGCTGTTCTTCCTTGATTGTTCATTTCAGTTCATTGAACACAGTCCCACCATTACCGGACCATTGCGAGAAGGTATAGGTTGAATTTCGCTTTAGATCCCCTTGCTTAATATTTTTCTTTAAATATGAAGTGCTATAAAAAAAATAAGCATGCAATTTATATTAATAGTTAATATCGGTGCGATAAGGCATAACTTCAGTAATATTGACTTTTCAAAATAAGGTGTATATAGTGCTTAACCTTTATGTGGTGTTCAAAGTTAAATGAGTTCTTAGAATCCATCATACAAGTTAATTAATTTCTTAACAGTTGTAATATGGTTTAAGGTGTTCAATGTGAGTTAAAACATCCTCAACACATCAGATAAAAGAAGATAATTCAATCAGCCTTAACTAAATCGTATCTGTTAGTGGTAACTACCTGATTGAAGTCGTGATCGGTGGTCGAGGATTTTGTGTTACGTGACTCTGAATGGGTTACTGTGAAGCAAATACAAGACTTATTATCTTCCTTTAAATCTCGGATTTCAATATTTCTTTATGAGCTCATTATTAGAATTTGTATTTTTCAATGCGTGGGAAAACATAACAACGTTGTTTTATCAAAAGTCTCAGTTAATATATAAGAGCCCAATCAAATTTCTTTGATATGAAACAATTTTATGTTGTCAAGTGAATGAAATAATAAGAATAACAAACAGGTATACTAGAAGGGGTTTTTTGTGGATATTATAGTAATCTTAATAGTTGAGATCATGAGTCCATTGAAGCTAGATCACTATGGAAAACCTGAAAGCAGTGGATGGCCGTTTCGTTCTATTGTGGTATATATAATTTGATTTGAACAGTGCATGAATTCTAAAAACAACATGCGTTAATGTAGTGAAATTTTTAAAAAAAAAAAACAATTATATTGACAATGTTAGGTTACTTTAAGTGATGAGAGTGTTGGAGCAAGATCAAACCATTTTTTAAAAAATCCTCATTCTTATTCAAATGATTTGAATTTCATTTTATGTGAAGTGTTACTGTTATGAGACGTTCTTTGTGAGTTTCGAAATTTCTCTGAACAACTTCATTACTATAAATATCAATCTTGCGGTCTGATATTAAAGCGAGTAAAGATATGCTCAGAGATTATTTTTGAAGTTCTGTTGGATTTCCCGTTAGTCAAACAGAGAAGTTCTATGATGTCCATTTCTTCTGATCTTGATTTTTCAAGAAGCTTGTCCAATTTATACTCGGTCTCAGTCTGGACATTTTATTTCTATATAAGATTAGATGATGAATCCTTCGGTATTTTCTCTTTTACATCAACTGCGTTGCTTTGTGGTTCTAAAGAATACCCTGATATTACAAGTGTTGAATATTCTGACTTGGTCTGATGTGTATAGTCTGTATAAAACGACAATTGTTGTAGTTGATGATTTCGGAGTGTTTTTTTTGAAAAAGTTCCATATTGTTTCCTATTTTTCGGACGAGTTTTTTTGGATAGTAGTTTATTCTTAGAATTTTATTTATATTCCCTAGTTCCTCTTTCTTTCGTTTTCGTTTATTATCAATTTGTCTGTCTTTCATAAAATACTATAAACAACTGATACCTTTGCACTAATAGGATGTGAGAATCTTTGGTTACCATTTATTATCAGTAGTATTTTAAAGGACGATAATTCTTGAAGCGAGCTTGTGGATCTAGCGGCCCATTATTATTATTATCGGGTAATCTAAAGATCATTTACTAATAACTTCTCTTTGATTGTCATTCTAAGCATTTTAGTTCTTTATTCTCCGTTTGTTGAATGATTGAATAAATGAATCTTGAAGTCGGCTGTAGCATAATAACGAAAACTCAATGATTGAAATGAAATGGTGAAGTTGTGTTTTTTTGTAAATAACCCGCAAATGGTTAGAGATATTATAATAAGAGGGGAATTTTACCCAGGGAAAACACGCTTTTCTCATAGAAACCAGTCATTTTTTAATTAAATAAAAAGATATTAACATTTTCATATGTCACTATGTAAATACATCAGTTTGTTATAATTCACATTTTTTTCTACATAGAATGCATGAATATAATGTAGCACGGGAAGATCGACTTATTTGTTTTGGTCAATTGCTTGGGATGTGTGATCAGATTAGTTTCACATTAAGTAAGTTGATCATTTTTTTGTTTTGATTGAGATCATGAACCGATTGATGTTAGACCACCTTTGGAAACCTGGAAGCACTGGACGGCCATTTCGTCCTATTATGGGACTCCTCAGCAGTGCGCACCCACGATCCCGCTTGCGGGATTCGAACCCAGGGCCTTCGGTCTCGCGCGCAAACGCTTAACCTACTGGACCACTGAGTCGGCATCCAATGGTGATAGTGTCTAACATCGACCAATCCATGAAGTTGCGCGATCAACTTCCATTGTACTGAGGTAGATACCTGTCTCTACCCGACATGGATTAGCTCCACTGATCACGGCTTCTCACTAGAACTCCGAGAATTCCCTCACGAAGCTAGTCACTAGTCAGCACAACCCCTATACTAGTAAGTTAATCATTGTTTAATGACTTCAACAAGTTACGTACAAATGAATTTCATCTTTTTATTTCAATGTTAAATGAATTCTGAATGTATAAGAGTAACATTTATATGCTGATGATTTGATTATCATAATTAATTTATAATTGAAACTATTGTCAACATTTTGGTGATAATATTAATCGATTATTTTCATTACCATTCACCTGTTAAAAACTGACCATTTCTGGTACATTTGATTGATTTCTGTAACGAGGCTTATCAGAGTGAACCAATATATAATGTACAACCAAAATGGATCAAAAGAATAGTTTTGTAAATTTTAAGTAGTATTTTCTAAGTAAATGTGGATTATTGCGTTCGTTTTTAAACCAAATCAAATCAATTATATCTGTCGTGAGTTCAATCCCCTGATGTGATCTTGAATGTGTACTGTTGAGCAGTTCTATCCTTAAAAGAAACAACTATCTTATGCTTCATAATTTTTAGTGATTCACCAATTGAAGTTAGTTCGTCATGAAAACGATTTGTTGTATAGAATCATTTTGCTGTATACTTTTATTATTTCATATTTCGATGGGAGTTATACCTTTTTCTCAATATACCTTTGATGTTACTTTTCTCGAAATTATATTCTTTTTTTAAAACATTAAAGGTCAAGCTGGCTACTCTGTATATAAATATGTTCCATATGGTCCTGTTGAAGAAGTTTTACCATATCTATCTAGACGTGCATTAGAAAATGGTTCCGTGTTAAATTGTACACTTAGAGAACGTCAGCTTTTATGGTCTGAATTGAAAAGACGTTTGTCGAATGGGCAATTCATTTATAAACCATAGATTAACTTATAAACAGATGTGTGTGTGTGTAGAAGTTAGTTTTAATTTTGATTGTTCTACTTTGCTTCACTTATTCTTTTCTTACTTATTTCCTTGATCTTTCACATCTTTCTATTTATAATTATATGTTTAAATGTATGTATTCGCTTATGTAGTTAGTATATATTGTTCCTTGCACACTTATATTGTTGTATGAAACAAAAACAATTTTCTACTACTGTTCATTTTCTGCTTTTTGTGAATCCCTTCTATTCTTTTCACAAAGTTCGAACTTTTCAACCAATGTCTTTGGTTCATTTCTGTCTTACATTGAAGCAATCAACTTCAATGATCTCACAGCTTCAGTCGAATAATAAATATGTTGTAACTAACTTTATTATACTGATGAGTCAATCAGAATCAAGATGTAAATTTTTAGTTTTTGCTCAAAATCAAAAAGCAAGTCATGACAGCAATATCTTTACGAATAAATTTGCAGAATAAACCTTTATTTAGATATAAAATCGCTTACAACTATTAAGAGAACGCTTTGTATGGCTTCATACAGTAAAAAGAATATGAAACTAAAGCGAAATCTAATTGATTCCGAGCTGTCCATTGTATTCAGTGCTTTCCCTCGGATCTGCAAGCCTTCATAATCCAGTTGACCACCAGAAGAAAAATGAGAGTAAACAGCGTTTTCTGGCTTTGGTTTTCACATGGAATGCATCTGTTAGCTGTTTTCCATGCACGACGTTGCACTGTAGTCTGTCGTATGAATGCCGTATCATATTGACGATCTTCCCAGCTACCCATTCTATAATATCGAAGACGGTTCTTCTATCCACACTTTCAAACGCTTCATCATAGTCAAGAAATTTGATTTGAAGTGACGAGTTCCATTCAATTTAGTGTTCAACAGTGATTTGTAGTTTCGCGGTTCGGTTTGTGCACGAACAATTCTTACGGAACCCAGCCTGTTGATCTCTAAGTTGGGCGTCTATCGAATGTTTCATCCGGTTCAACAACACAATTGAAGACGTTTCCTAGTGGTGTGATGTCTCTACAGTTTCCATTTTTTTCAGATCTCCTTTCTTTGGTATCCAGATGAGATATCATTCATTCCAGTTTGTGGGCACTTGTTCTTCCTCTCAAATCTTCCTGAATAGAACATGGAGCATGTTTGCAGGTACTTCTGTCTGTGACTTTAGTGCTTCGGCTGATAAATTTTCAGGCGTAACTTTTCCCACTCTTGATTTGTCTGGTGGCTATCCTGATCTCTTCGATCGTTGGTTGAGTAGCATTGTTAGGAATGTTTGTAGGTGCTATTTCGGTGTTCGGTAGATTCAGTGGATCTGGCCTATTCGAGAGTTCCTCGAAGTGTTCTGCCCACCTGTCCCTCTGTTCTTGAATTTAAGTGATCGTATCACTTTCTTTGTCTAGACTTCTTTCGCCTTCATCGTTCTCCCTGGATTACTATGTTTCCCTGCCAGTTTTTTCGTCGTGCATCATAGTTATTTCACATGTCCTTCCGTTGCAGCTTTTTTCGCTGTCGATGCTAGGTCTTTTACATATTCTTGCTTGTCGGCCCTAATGATCCTCTTCACTTGCTTGTTCTTCTTTGTGTATTGAGCTCGTGCCTCGACTTTCTCTGTTCTGGTTCGACTGTCGATAATTGCTGTCTTCTTGTTCTTCCAGTATTGAATCATGAATCTTGCTTGTTGCGGCCCAGAAGTTCTTCACATGTGAAAGTTAGTGTTTCTCTGACCCCTTTCCAATTGTCTTCTTGTTGTTTGTTTTTCCTTCGGTAGATTCTGTCAGGCTTGTACCCTGTTGTTAGGATCTATCTTGGATTGATTGTGTTTGTGAGGAAAGCTGTATTGAACATTTGTAATGCTGTCTTCCGAGTTGTCCATTGCTTCTTTAGCTTCAGTTTCATGTTGGCAATTACCAGCTGGTGGTGATCTTTGGCTATGTCGGCTCCTCTCCTTGTTCTCACGTTTTCCTCCTGACCCTCCAAATTTTTTTAATTGTGCACATATGGTCGATGTGGTTCTGTGTGAATCACTCGATGAGACCGGAGTAGCTTTGTGTATGCTGCGTATACTCATTTTGATGAGTGGGAATTTCTCACCATTCCTTTTCTTTGCCCCAGTCAGTCCTTGTTCTCTCATGATATTTTTTTGACGCCATGTAGAGCAGTCATTGATGTTGATGAGTTCGAAACTTTCATGGCCTGATTTATGACCCCAGTTGGGTCATTTGATTGGTTGTTATTGGAATATACGTATCGTCAATTCTCGTATAAAATTATCGGCTTAATTCGCGTTTGTGAATAACGTGTATGGTGGTGGATTTTTGAATACGAATATTTTCTATGGTCATTGATCTGAACTGACAATCAGAGGAACGAAGCGAAGATAAATGAGCTTGTGGGTCAACTCAGATTAGTCATGCTTTAATAGATATTTATGGTCAGGTGGAAAGACGTTACAGAGTTTGACCAATAAGATGAGAAGTGCGCACATATGCGGTAGCAATGGAAAAGTCAGCTTGATAAGCGCATAATTAACAAGGTCAAAATAAGGCTCAAGGAAAATCTAATAAATTGATATGTCCGGAAGCTAGAATATGCTTTGTAGACTTGACATAGCAACCGACACCACAATATCTTCATATTTTTTGTTGTCCATTCCGAATTTGGCGTTTAGTTCTTTCACTAAGATTGTAAAGTTTTTTCCAATACACTTTTCTATTATCCACTAAAATGTCTCACCCGACCGAAGCTGCTACCTTGACGCAGTGGTCGGGCTTGCCTATCGTGATGACCCAACCGAGCTATATTGGCTGGAACATATGTTCCTGTAGGTTCTACCATGCCAGGCAGGTCGATCGGAGAACGGTAAGACTAAAAGCAGCAACTCAAGGTCTGAGGGCGAAGTCGTACTGCTGACTGTAGAGGAGTGTGGCAGCAGCAAAGTGTTTCCCTTAGACAACCAGCATCTGCAGCGATGCTGCCTTCCCACAAGGAGGGGTGGGGTTAGAAAAGGTCGACCCTAAAAATGTCACACCTCACCTTACCTTACGGATTTCCGTCTCCGGTGGTAAGGCCCTTTAAAGAACGGAGCTAACACATTAAAAACCTTCCACGAGAGGGCCGTGCTCGACCGGCCTCAAGCAGTTGTCATTCGGGCTCTGCGATCACGCTCCCAGGTCGACAAGACCAACACTAATCCAATTTCCTTTTCAGGTTCCTTAAGAAATACCCTTCCACGGTGTAGGCAGCCGAAAAGTGACATCAGCCCTCATACCCATAACAGCACACGAGACCAAGTTGATCACATTCAAATCCCTCCTACACTTTGTAATACCACTCTTATCTCCCCGACTAACCCTTTTCACATCCTTTTATCATCTCACACCGCTAGGGCAAACGATTCGAGTATGCAGAACGTTATTCTTGGTCTCCTGAAACCACGCTCTAAACTACACGTAGGAGCTTTTAACGTCCGAACACTGTGCCAAACAGGGCAACAGGCTTCATTAGCCAGGACTTTAGAATCGCGCGCCATCGATGTGTGCTGCGTCTCCGGAACGCGCACACAGAGCGGAGTAGCGTCATTCATTTGACCTCACCATGCCAAAATAAAGAATCGACTCGATTTACGCTTCGTGTATCTGGAAGCCCTGATTCTGCTTCCCGTGGCCTCGCCGGCGTAGGTATAGCATTGAGTCCTAGGGCAGAACTAGCTCTCTTAGAGTGGATCCTAGTAGACAGCCGTTTGTGCGCTGTCCGACTGAACGGAACAGTAAGAATCCGGAAAGATAGGGACACTCGTCGTTGCCTCTTCGTCGTCTCTGCTTATTCTCCCACTGACTGCAGCTCAGATGATGTCAAAGATGAGTTTTACAGAAAGGGATCAGTTCAACTGGCTTTCAGCTACACTTCGGTTTCCCGCGATCTCTAGTCAACCTGAATGGCAAGTTAATGTAGGTCCTCCGTCCCTTTACGAAGTTAAAAAGCCATATGAAATCTGAAACGAGGGAGAGCAGCAGGCCCTGACAGGTTTACTCCTGAGATTTTTAAGGATGGTGGTCCAGTATTAGAAGTGGGATTAACTGAGGTCTTAGGTAGAATTTGGGAACTGGACGTAATTCCATCTGACTGGTCTCAATCACTGATTGTGCCAGTCTATAAGAAAGGACAAAAGTCCTCTTGTGACAATCACAGAGGAATCAGTTTGACTAAGAGTGTCTAAAATATTAGCCTCAATAATACTTCGACGCCAATTTTCGACCTGGACGTGGTTGTATACACCAGATATTTACACTACGTCAGGTTCTACAACACAGACACTCGTTCAGGCGCCCCACAATGGTAGTATTTCTCGACCTTAAGGCGGCATTCGACTCTGTTGATCGTGAGGTTCTAGTTCAGTGTTTGTCACTGAAAAGAGTACCAAAGAACTACATTAACCTAATACAGTCTCTCTACTCTCTCCTCATCTAAATTTCCAGGGGTTGAACTTCTACCGGGAGATTCACTTGTTGACTTAGAATATGCAGATGACATAGTTTTATTTGGTGAAGACGCTGACAAAATGCAGAGTCTTCTGACTGCTCTAAGCAACAATGCAAGCATGTTCGGCATGCGATTCTCTCCCTCGAAATGCAAAATGTTGCTTCACAATTGGGTTACATCGACACCCGAACTAGTGATAGGGAGTGAAGTAGTTGAGTGTGTCGACCGCTTAACTTATCTTGGAAGTCTCATCAGCCCTTGTGGTTTAGTGTGTGACGAAATCTCAGCACGGATACAGAAGGCTCGACTAGCTTTTGCCAATTTGCATCATTTATGACGTAGGCGAGATATCCGTATATCAAGCAAAGGGCGGGTTTACTGCGCAGCAGTTCGTTCCGTCATACTTTATGGCAGTGAAACATGGCTGGTTAGAGTAGAGAATATTCGTAGGTTACTAGTATTTGATCATAGGTGTCTTCGGAACATTAGTCGTATATCATAGGACCATCGAGTAGGTAACGCAGTTGTTAAGAAACGGGTACTAGGTAAGGATGGCAAATCAATTGATGAAGTGGTGAAACTTCATCAGTTGAGATGGCTGGGACACGTGTTACGTATGCCCAACGACCGACTGCCTCGACGTGCGATATTCAGTGGTATAGGAGTAGGTTGGAAGAAAGCTAGGGGCGGCCAGACCTAAACATGGCACAAGTCCATGAAGTCACTGACAAGTGGTCTGAGTCATGTTGGTAGGTGTAGACTACCTGGTTGGGGACCGCGAGATGATAGCAACCGATGGTTAAAGACCCTGAATGACATGGCTCAAAATCGTTTGCAATGGCGCAGTTGCATACACTCTTTGTGTTCTCCCAAATTTTGATCTCCTTATTCCTCCTTGTCCCTTTTTTTCTCTTCCCAAATTTATTTCACTGTATTATACTCCTTGAATAACATCTCCAAACCTTAATCTTTCCAATTACTGCTTATACTCTTATTTCCTCTACCACTACGGGCTTTGAATCGACAACTGCATCTTTGTGCTAATGTGGTGTGGCAGCTCGAACTGACGTACCTACGTACGTACGAAGTTCTACGTTGTAACCGACTGACTGACTGATCTTTGCCGTCTTCATTGCCATCGTTGATGGGTGCATAACATTGATTGTGATTTGCTCCTTATTTGTACAGAATGATGCCTCGATGACTCTGGATCCATCGGTTTCCCATACTATGAGTGTATTACGTGCTTCTTTGAACAGCATCAGAGCAACTCCCTGAGCGTGTAGAACACTGTTTTTCGTGGAATACAGCAGCATCTCTCCTGAATGTAATTATTTTTCACCCAGCTAGGATCCAATGTGTTTCAATGATTTCGAGCACTGTCGAGTTTTATGTCCTCGTTCCGTATCTATTTGATTAGTCCCCTCGGTATCCCACATTGTGTAGCAATTCCATGTACCTATGTTAATTGTTGCTGTGTTTGTCAGAAGGGTCATCGGCTTCATGACTTCCAAAGAATCTCGGCTTTCATCATGAAGTGTGATAATTGTTCGTTCAACTCGTAGGACAGAGTTTAAATTGCTTAATTTGTTCAATCTGTTTGGTGTTTATTTAGCACGATTGTTTTCTGTGGGGTGGGGTTGCCGTCTCTATACTCAAATCTCCTCTTGTGTGTGGGCCTAGGATCGGTTGTAAATCTAGAAAAGCTACAGGTGGAGTTATTACGTGAACCTAACCAGGATTATAACCTAAAGCTGTAGCTGTTATGTTCCATGATCTGAGTAAATACCGAACTCATAAACCTTTTGGGCCTTTGATATATATGTAAAACGAGAAGAAATCTTCAGCATTCAAGGCCGATTATTGAGCGTCGACTATTGATTGACAACTCACCATGCGCAATGATCCATTATGATGATCTACCGAACGTCTTCATAGGACTGGAATATCTAGCAGCTTGGTTACCATTTAACGTCAAATCATCTCATCATTTTTCACTTGATAAAAAACGTTTTTCTTGGTAAGATTTCATGCTATGTCACAGTAATAAAGAAACATTTGGCTTGAAAGCGTTTTTGAGGGAACCAGACTGGAGCATCATCGGATGCTATAGTTTTGGTATGAGATCAGTTAAATTAAGCAAAGGCATTATTTTATTTAGCTTTAGTTGATTAAGATCACTATGTGTACAGCAGTAGAATGATGTATACATCGACGGCACAGTTGAAAAATGTAGATCAACTTCATTTTGTTGGACAAATTGTTCTGCAGCCCAAAGTATATTTGAACTGCTGGAATAATCTTTAGGATTCCACAATATTCGGAGTTTGACAACACCTTGACAAGTAACACCTTTTATAATTGAAATGTGCAAGCCCAGTCATATCAAAAGTCAGGAGCGAAGAGATATGTCTAATAGAATATTGATATATTGAGAAGTGATCAATCTAAGCTGGCTGGCGGTCGTAGATGTGAAGCACGGCGTACTTACAAATGTTCTGGTGCGGATGCGTGAGAGAACGCCTTCATCTAGGTGAGCCTATTAGAATTAATGCTGTCAGCATCAAATGTCGAAGACATCCAGGACTACTAATTTTGGGGATTTATTTACTACGACAATCTCTTGATATGGTATTGTCTGGAATTAACAGGTCTAACTGTAAGTTTTTGAAACAGAATAGGTCGAGTAACAAGGTACGTTAGGATCCCATGTGTTTTTAAATGATTTCGAGCACTGTCGAGTTTTATGTCCTCGTTCCGTATCTATTTGATTAGTCCCCTCGGTATCCCACATTGTGTGGCAATTACATGTACCTATGTTAGTTGTTGCTGTGGTTTTCAGAAGGGTCATCAGCCTCTTGACTTCCAAAGAATTTTGGCTTTTATCACGAAGTGTCATGATTGTTCCTTTAACTCGTAGGACAGAGTTTAAATTGCTTAACTTGTTCAGTCTGGTTGGTGTTTATTTACCACGATTGTTTTCTGTGGGGTGGGGTTGTTGACCCTATGCCGAACCCTACTTTGCGTGGTCCTGGGACCAGAAGTAGCTCAAGAAAAGCCACAAGCTGAATCAGGTTATCGTCGAAGGACAGAATCGTCAGAGTTGGAATTACTGGTGATAACAACAGGACTAGTTAACGTTTAAAGAAACCGTTCATAATCCGCAGCCATTCAATTAAATCACATTAGAAATCGATGTAATTGGAATTTCACAGTGAACTGGCGTTAATTGCATATCAACTAATAAATCAGTATATACCATGTACTAGGCTAATAAATCCACTTACCAGAACCATTGATATGCTAATGATGGAGGTGTTCCAACCCGAAATCTGCTTATATTCAAATCCGTTAGGCTCAGTGGTACCCAATCCATCAATAATCGATCTATTCCTTCACAGCTTATGACGCCATGAGATTCTGAGTATATATCCAGATATTCCAACTAAGTCACACTCTACACTGACATTAGTATGACCAACAATTTATCCGAGCCTTTCAAAATCTTTGCGTGCACCGTGGTTACACATGAGATTAGATTTCAATAGGTCCAGATATTTACTATACACCGATGTACCAAGTAACCCGAATTTTTAATAAGCGATGCACAGTTGTCTTTATCCTTATTCCAATTCATTACACTTGCAGGTTCTTCTAATCGTCTAGATAGATTGGTGACCACATTACATACCTTTGTAGCGTGGCGTCGAGTTGGGATTAACTATGAACACCGCTACAAAGAAACACGTGCCAAGTAAATCAGAAGGCGAAGATCGAACGTAACCAAATAAATCCATAAAATCCCCGAGAAGCCAAATATCAGAAGACAGTTAATGGACCAAATCGAGATATATTCGCTGGCGATCTCGTGGCATCGAAAGGATACCGAGATCGTGCCAGGATACATGCTTGGTTACAGAACGTAATCGAATTCGCGCGAAGTTACAATCAAAGTGTGTGTATAAGAATGGAAGTACAATATAGCTGTCATTAGCACAGTCAAACAAAAGCACATTAAAATAAGCACTGGTACAGATGGTTATAATAATAATTGTTTTTATTAAACCAGTCGTGTTCTCGTTATAAATGTGAGTCACTACACCTTCATGCATATTTATGAATTCACACATGAATAACGATTTGAGTCATCGGGAGAATATATTCACTGGCTGCGATTAAATTCCTTTGGGACCCACAAGCATTCCACCAAGAAGCGTGCGCACACTGAACCGATGCTTTCAATACTCGAGGCAATGCTCCGAAACCCATTGTTTTTCTACAGCATCATATCCGATTATGACTCCCATCCTATTCCTCCTTGTTCTCGAAAGAATTATATCTCCATGGTACTTCCGCTGTTCCAAATGTTATTTGTTTGTTTGTCCTGCATCACAGATAAATCACCTTTTGATCACGTAATTTCTGCTAGTTTGAAGTGTTCAACTTCCCGCTTCAAACTAGACTTACATGATTTTGCTTCATGACGTACTTATACACAAATAACATAGACTTGACCTTCTTACTTTCCGTCTACTATACAAAGCACTCATTTTTGTTAAGTCCGTACAATCTCTCTTTCTGACCACCTAGACAACAATCGCAACTTAAAGACGTAGACTAATTGCTTATCTCGTGCTTAACTACAATATGGAGTGTATTTGTTCCGATTCGGCATTCATAACCGTTTTTAGTAACTTTTGATTTACATTATGCTAGACTCCTGTAACATTTTTTTAGAAAACTCTCCAACTTTCACGAAAGCAACCAGTTTGTCGATGTTGGTTTCTTTGGCATCCTTCATGGTCTTATCGGCATCTTCTGCCATTCATCAAATTAGTAGCGCATTTATTCCTACACCAGATGTGAAGTTAACACTATACATATCAACGACTTATATTTATTTCAAGACATGAATCAGGCAATTCTGTTAGAATGAGAAAGGCATATTTACAAATTGGTCTCTTACATCATTTCGGAAGTCCAGTGTACTCAGGGGTTGTGCTTCTTCTAACACATTTATTCCAATTGTCATGCAATAAAAGGTAGATCACATTAATAACAGTAAATTTTCAGTTCTGATACAGAAGACCAGTTTAAAAATTCCGCTCTTTTAAAAACCACCATAGCTTCAGAAATATAACATAGCTAACAACAACAACACAAAGAACATGAAAATATGTTCTTACTTCATCTTCCTGGCAATTCAGATGGGCAATTCTAAGATACCAAAATTGTAACCTGAGTACACGACCTTGTGTTGCTTGTTTGAATGTATCACCAGAGAATTAATAATATTCGAAGGCATTTTGCTGTGAGAAGATCCATATGATGAGGCGGGATATCCTGAGTTTATCTTGACCAAATTTAATAAGTTTGCATATTTGTAGCATTCTTAATTATAGGTGAGTGAAATTTAGTACACAATGATTTTGTACATTGTTTTGTACGACCTGTTTATTTTGTTACATGCACACCTGGCGATTGACTGTCTTTTTGAAGGTGTTTTTCACTTGCGAAGTTATGCGTACATTATAAATAATATTTATTTGCCCTCGGTAAAATCACTTTGGATTCTAAAGGACGTCTATTGACGAACAACTTGTGCTATAACCTTACCTCACATATTACTACTCATGTTGTCTAGGAAATTTACAGTTCCCTAAATAGGACAATACTTACTTTTTTCTGGAGCTCGCTCGTGTCTCATTATTAGACTCACATTCGTATCATATGTCCTGGTAATGGTTAATCTAATCAGTCATGCATCGTAGAACTTGATACATTCATTGGTTTTAGCTGCCGCATCACATAATAACAATAACAAAATTGTCAAGATAAGTCTTCTAGTGGTAAGGGTCAGTAGTAGTACAATAGACTAGGTTTAGGAAAAAACGAAGGATTTGAGATATTGGGGTTACTGGGTTAAAGAATCCATCTGTTCTGTCGTGAATGGTTCTTGTTGATTTTCTGTCTTGAGTTTGTATTGTCTTCCATTAACTCAAGGCATCTATTTGTAGACCTATACTTTAAAAATGCCCATGTAATGTGTCTGAGCTCAATATATGTAGAATATAATGATTTTTCCTCTTAATTATCTTGTTGACAAGCTTCTTGTTCACTATCAAGTGCAAACGACTGTATTTATGTCACCAGTAGTTTGCTTACTGTGTTATATAATGGTCTAATAATACTTGATCACAATACAATGCATTTTCGGTCGGTCCAAAACTGAACAGCACTTAAAAATATTGAGCAACTGATCACACAAACGTATTCTTTTATAAGAGAGGATACTTGTACACGAATTAATTGTGCAAAGAAACAATTTCCAATATTTCTTTACAGTATACCGTGTCGGTATGCGACGATATAAAATTAGTTAAGCAGTTTTATTATCTTGATCTCCATGTTATCATATATAATCACTTTAAGTAATAAGGTCATTGGTTTTATCTTTGCTTTCGTCCTTGTAACCAGCTGATTAGGATCATTCTACGTTGTGAGATTTCAGCTTCGGTCTCTAAGGCATACTAGTTTAGTCTTAACTTTATGAACTATTTCAACTTGAAAAATTATAAGTATTATCTTGATAGGTCATCATTATTGAACCTGAGTAGTTTAGGATGACTATGTAGTACGGATAATTGGCTTGCGTACTCATATATATATATATAATCCATACGATCCGGTGGCTGGCTATTGCGAATTTCCATTTCGATTCATTCTTAGTCTCACCATTATTTTCGTAAATGAACCTTATGGCAATTGGAAGAACAGAAATGAGCTTAAAAACTGATTACTTGGATAGTGTTCGGGTATACTGATTTAAAACCACGTGAATAATTGATTTGGTGGTGGAATCCCTGCTCATAAAACACAGGAATAGTAGATTCATCGTCTCAGCGTTTCTTTACTTCAAGTGCTTCTTGTGTGTTAACGTTCTTTTACCATTCGAAACGAAATCGTACTTGTCTAGTGCTTTCACAAAACGATTCAGTTGCAGGCATTTCGAACTTTCAGTCTTCAGTAATAAGGATAGTAGGTTGATGAACCTGTAATAATCCTGACACACTGCTTTGCATTGAAGGTCCAGCTTCTCCTTGAACCCTAAACGCTTCATATTCTTTTTTAAAGTTGCGATTTAACCTTGGAATTCTAATGATTAAATAATATAGTTTAATATTTCTGAGTTGAAATGTCTACACAGTGTGACCTATCATTGTAATATAACGCCCTCAACTTTAGTATGTAGAGCAAGATCAAGTGAATGCCTTTGTTCCACCGTAGCTGGTCTTGGACTATATCACACAGTGTCTGTGATCGTCCTCGGTTAACGTTCGAACCTAACATGGCGGCTCAAAGTGGCACGTAATAACTTGATAAACTAGTGTTGTAAAAAAGTTAAACGAGGAGTATTCAAACGCTTGAGGTTAGTAATGGAGACTATTCAGTAACAAAATTTTGGTTACTATTTGAAAGACTTGAAAGGTTAGAGTTAGTGGTGATTTATGAACATTAATTACTACACTAAAGATGTATTGGTGTTTAATTTTAACTTAAGCTTAGTCATTCAATATTTAGCCGCGTGTATGGTATATCCCGCCTAATATTGGCCGGTGCAAGAATACGTTGAAAGGGAACTAATGGTGGTCAAAACAAAACATAATATCAGTCCGTGGAGTCATTGACTGTTGGGTTGATCTGAGTAGACCGGTAAAGACTATCTGGTTAGGGTCCATCTAACTATCGTAACCAATGGTTGGAGGTGTTTGATGATATATCTCAGAAGTGGTATTAACAAGACAGACCTATTCACTCTTTGTCTTTCGTTACGTCTTCAGTTTTGAAGTTATCTTATGCTTTTTTATTCCGAAATTTCATGGTTTCTTCTCGAGTCACAACGTTTATGGCTACTGTTTCCAACCACCATATATACTGTTGCTTTATCCACTACCCTAAGAGTTGTCTTAATAATTTAATCTTTTTGTGCTCGTACGGCGTAAGGATCGATGCACATATGTGCTAGGTCCTAAGTGTGAGTGATTAACTAATTTATTCAGTAAGCTATTTCAATGGAACATCGAAGTGAATCAAAAGTAGAAAATGATTAATAGGTTGAACTGTTAGTGCATGTACGTAATATGTGAGGTAACTAACCTATCGAACATCTACAAATTTGTGAACTACGCTGTGATTTCTAAGACGGTGTGGGCTTGCAGGATATAAACTAAAAAAACTATCTGAAAACTGAGTGAACAAATCAAGTAGCCTCACGTGCATAATCAAAAACTAACAAAATATTCTACTTTAATTACTTCCGTATCACGTTTCAAATCTCAAAAAAATAATGCATCATAACATGGTAACTCAACATGACAATCTTTCCATAATTATATACCATACACTGTTAGATTTAAGTTTTATTCGGTTTGTATTTTTATCAACAAGCTTTGTTGTGCTAAAACAAACAGAACACAGATTACAGTTTCTTCTATTATGGCGAATTTATAGTGCATCTTAGTCTTCTACCATAATAGCTTTATTTTTCTCAAACCTATTTCGGCTTTGACCAAGTACTGACAATATCTTTTACACAGTACGATACGTAAACATATACTTAGTAAATAAATCATACTGGTTATCGTTATTTAGCCTTTAATACATGCCCTACAGTTTAGTAAATGAGTTAGTATATGACATAATTCTCTGCCTTTAATATAATAAAGAGGGAACGAATCGAGCGTTCCTCCTTTATTTGCCAAATGTCGAAATGGGAATTTTCACTTTAATATAATAATAAGTACATACTCTGAAAATAATAATTATAGAATTCATGCCTGTAAACTGGCATGATCAATTACTGTACGGCAATAGTCGTAAGGAACGTGCACCATCCCAGGTCGGTTTAACATACATTATATGTCTGACAAATAACATTGATGTATATGTTGTTTTACCCATCTGGAGTGGTGGATCACTGGTTAAGACATTCGACTTTAAGTTACCAGGTTGCAAGTTCGAACACCGCTCTACTTCAGTCTAGACTACCATTCATTGTCACTACCCCTTGTACTTAGAATGTGAATTTTACCTTGCAAGTGAGTTAATATTATCAAAACTCATTTGAAAATCTCAATTGAAACTATTGCTTGATGACATTAACGTACAAGGAAAAACCCCCAACATCCAGCATAGCGCCTCTATCTATATTAGTTAGAGGAGGTACAAGAAATATGTCTGGTGTTTGAAACTGCATTTAATTATTGAAACTTGCAGTAACATGGTCGTTAAACGTACATAACTCAAAGCTGATAAATACTTAAAAAACAATGATAATGGACAAAATGAGTCATATGTTAAAGTGGATTTTTTAAAAATCAATTAGTGAGAATAGATGAATATAAAAATTGACCTGTAAAATTGGAATCCATACTTAGTACTAACTCATTTCACCGAAAGTTAGGTTAACAAGCTAGTGTTGTTTTTTCTCGCGGTCTTCAAGAAATAGTCTAAATATACACACTTAGTCTATCGATCATTAGTTAATAAATGTAGTTTATCAACCAACTACATGTTTTTGAACTGAGATTTAGTAATACTACCATACTAACCAAATGAAACTGAGTGAGACGATTTTCGAAACCAAGAATAAAACAGATTGAATTCAAGTGCATCACTGTGGTCGATTTCCAATCAGTTCCTCTGTTATCTTCTACGATAGGATACGATAATTCGGCTCATGATGCCTTGAAGTCTGTGTTTGCCGGCACCGCTCAAAATTCGTGAATCGATGCGATGTTTTGGTCGGTTGCTTTGTGTCTTGTCAGATCTATTCCTCTAAACTGATTTCTTGTGACAACGTGGATTGATGCATGTTATTTTTCTAGGTTTCATATTAATTATAACTGCATACCTTAACTTTTTTTCGGACGTATTTCTATCAGCCAGCATTGTGTCCAGAACAGGAAGTGGCTGAACAAAAGTTGCTCGTGTCCCAGGCTTTATAACCGATGAAGGTTTATGGTTACACTCGTAAATTTGATGTTTTTACCTGATTTACTATTCACAGCCCCTCACTACTCATCTTTTTGCGTTTTCATCAAGTGTAATAAATACGTTGTAGGCAGTCGTAATCAAATACTCTCAACCTTAATTTTTCTGGCTTCATGGGCTATGATTAATGTATGTTGTTCAATACAGAGTGAACTGTTAGTCACTATACTCGCAATTGATTGGTAGGCAAACATCTCGCATGTGCTAGAAGCTGCACAAATTGGCTGTGATTATGCGTGCTTCATTGTATCCATACAGAGTTTTCATTCAACAACTCGTCATTGACTAAATGGGCTTCCAAGATAAATCACATAATCAGTGCTGTCAACCACTCCACTTCCATCCATGAATGTAGACTAGCTCTCAAGCTTCATTTTGTGTTTAAAATGATAAAACCCTATTTATTTATTTATTTGAACACATAAATATTAGTATAAAGGGGCACCGAACACATATGCGTCACATAAGTCACTTGATTTGTGTGTGGCCTGTGATACTTTTGATGGATTTTTGTTCTCTGAGCTGGATTGTTTGGTTGTGGATCTTTCATCGTTCTTCTGAACGACACTATCAGCACAAACGTCAGGTAGAAGCGAAGTGTTCGAATTTCTGTGATACTGCCCAGGTACCTAGAGCCTTCGACCTAAAGTTCTGATCCACAAGGCAATCGAGCAACGTCGAGAGATGCAGTCTCATGGTAGCCGGTGACCAACAATAGGTTCATACGCCATTTGTTCCCTCAGGATCATGGAGCCTATGTGCACCATCGGTTTAGAATCAGGGTTTTCTAACTCCCCTACGTGAATCTTCTATATCCACCAACGTGGTCAAAGCGCCTGACATTCGCTTTTCGTCCTCAATTTCGTGAACAACACCCGTGTTACGAGAAGGCAGTGAGTAGGATTTCCCTGGTAGTGGATGTGTACTTGTGGCTATGTGAGAGCGTTTCGAGAGGGACAGCTAACTCTCTCCACCCTTTGCCTTACCAGGGCATAAAGCCTTATTATTTGAGGTTTTCAAAAGACTGTACTATGTCATTACTGTCACTGAACCGAACCATGTCATCTGCATACTTCAAGTGAGTGGGCCTCGGTAGGAAATCTTTCTTTCTTACAAGTTAAACATAGGAAACATCTGGTTTCCTCAAGCTTCATTTTACTGTGTTTAAATTATTTAGTTAACTTTTATACATGCCTTCGTTAAATGCCTTAAATAGTTTTTCGTATAGAGATTTTAAATGTGATTTTTTTCTTTTTATAAAGGGATAATGTCTGCTTTAAAATTAGAAGATCCCACGGTAGATGTCGGTGATATAGAAAAATACCGTATGGCTTTTTTAATGCAGTTTTTTGTACAACACAAACGAAGATTTCGATTTCCACGTCTTCGCCTACAGGTATTTACTTGAGTATTTTATCCAGATCTTCAATTTTTATGGTTTATCGGTAGTAGATAGTGTGGTTTTTATTTTGTGAACTGTTAGTTCTAGTTTTCAATTTCTTCCCTTTGTTGTTCAAAGAAAAATATTCCAATTTATGGTACTATTTCAGGTGGTTATTTTACAACATAGGACTTTGGAATAAGAGGTATTTGTGTAGAGCTCTCATTTATTAGTTCTCCACGACTCTCCCTAGGTGGGTTTCTATGGGTTATGCAAATCGATGTTTTGAGACTTTATCAGACATAGCTAATAATAAGGGAAACTAGTGATTATCCCATCATAATTTCCCATTACTTTCATCGTAAAATTTAAATGAAACTTTTAATCTGAGTAATGTATATCATATTTATTTTGTTAGTTAATTTATTCATTCATTTGTTGATTAAATAAATTTCAGTTCTATTTCTACTGAATATCATTCGAGTGTGCATGTGGCATATTTTTTCCCCGGCTCCTATTGTTTGAAAATACTTTTGGCTATAAATAAATAAATAATACTAGCTGTCTAACTTTCTATTGTTAATCGAACTGAATAAAGTTCCGAAAACCTTTACTCAATGATAATTTTGCTCTGTCTTGTTTGATTCATCGGCAATACATTAATTAAAAGTTTTGTATTCAAGTTAGACAGGAGAAAGGAAACACTATTCATTGTATTTGTATAGTAAGTTAGCTTATTACTTCTTTAATAAATCTTTATATGGTATCAATGCAATAATCTTGGTTTATGATTGTCTTAACTTAAAATCTATCACCTGATATTCAACCAGTATAGCCATTGAGTTTTAACATATTTTCATTCATTAAGATATTGATCACCAGGGAATAGATACTACTCATACCATAGTTCACAATTCTGTACATATTTTCCGATTCACACATCTTGAAAACGTTATTTGAAAGCCGGTAGAATTATCTGGGTTTCTCATCGTAAACTTACTATTTTATCCAGAATTCACTGATTTATGAAGCTGTATTACTTTGAGACTACTGAGATTAAGGTCTTGTAATTAAAATTCGATAAATTTGATATTCGTGAAATCGTTTTCTGTATATATCTATACATTTCATCTAAGAAAAATGCCTAGTACGATTGGTGTACAAGTAAGCTAGCAAAACGCTAGGGAAAGTTAAACTAAGACATATCACTAGTTCGTAAAGTCTTTGACAATTGGAGTGAACTTTGCTGATCGGTTCAGACTACCTGGTTAAGTTTCACATATTTACCGCAATAAATGGTTAGTAACTTGTGGTGACATTGCTCAAAATTATCTTTAAGGACACGAGGGCATTCAATCTTTGTTTTTCCTTAAAAATTGAGTCCCTCAATTTTATAACTTTTGTTTTTTTATTCTATACCTAATCTTTCCTAATACTACTGATACTGTTACTACTTCGGGATTTGTTTTGACAATTTTATCTCGCTATAGTAATCGGGTGTAACAACTTGAACCAATACACATATGTGTCAAGTTCTACTTTTTGCACATAACTGATTAACTAAATCAACTAATTTTTACAAAAGTTTTGCCTGTAAAAGGGATAAGCTTAAAATAGTCGTAACAAATTTTAGCCAATCAGAAAATAGTTATTGTCAATAAATAGTCTATGGATCGAAATAAAGCAAATTCTTACACAGATAAGTCAAAGAAAACAACGACCTATCAATTTATCCACATAAATGTAAAATATTCACCTTCTTAAACTCTTATAAAGATATAAGTTTTCAAATTGTTCCTAATTATAATTTAAGGATAAGGTTAATTATGTGTTAGATGCAATCTGTACAGAAAGTATTGAACATTTGCTATATTTTGTTTACTCTATGATGATAGAAAATAGTTTCTAGTTATTATTCTACATATTCTATGCATTATACTGACTGACTGAGTCAATCAATCAGTAACAACGTAGAACTTCATACGTACGTACATCAGTTCAAGGATTATACAAAGATATGTCAGTTGTGTTATTTTATGTGATTCAAGATAAAAGTGATCGATTGTTTTTAATATCCCTCACTTTCTCAACTTTGATTGACTAACCTCTACACTGTATTTTTGTAATTTTATCATCGGCAATAATAATAATCTAGTCTGAAAATAATTACAAAATTCATGCCGATTTATAAACATGATCAAGTTGATACAGGTAGCAATGTTATGTATAAATGACAAATATTTAATTTTTAATTTTTTGGAGTGGTCAATAATTGTTTAGGTAGGGATTATGAGGTATTCTTTGTTAGTCGACATGCTGTTGATGTATGAACAGTGTATATGTGGTCATTTCCTGTTCGAAAATTGAGTGATTATAGTCATCTGTAACCGGGTACTATGAAGTTATGTTTCCTAATATTGCTTCATTGTCTTGTGGATCAGATCTATAGGTGAAAAGCTCGGTCAGTGATTCATTAGGAAAACCATCTGCTTTGGTTTGGCCAACTAGGCAGTTTCTCAGCTCTTACATAAATTTTGTGTGGTGCATGTATATTTTAGTGACCCTTTGTTTCAATGTTTGTGTCTAAAAAAACCAGAAACAGAGCACAGAACAACAACAGTAATAATGACTATAATCAGTCTATTGTTATGCATGTTCCAGGTTGTTTTATGATCTACTGTTAGGAATAAATATGATTTCAGTCAGCGAAGTTTACCAGAGACGGCATAAGTGTAAGATATATACAAGTAGGGAAGTTTGATGAATGGTCACGGTAATAATAATGATTAAACATTTATCTCTCCTCTAATTCCACTAGTGGAATGGGATATATCTAAAAGTTTACGAAGACGTAAGGCAATTTTCAGATACAATGAACAATTGATGAAAGTGATCTGATTTCACGAACATATTGAAGCATATTACTTCAAAGCCTCAAACATTTTCTGATAAATCGAGAAGATTGAGGATGAGATCGCTTCATTAATGACAAAGAGATACGGATACTATAACTAGATGTATTTGGATAGTAGATTGTATCAGTGTATATAAAAGATAGTTTATAAAGTATTTTAAAGAGAAAGCAAAAGATTGAATTTCATTTCATATCTCACTTTTATAAAGGGTCGAGTTCAAGCTTATTATATATCTAGATATATATAGTCAAATGTATAGTCATTCTCAAGAATACAAAGTGTAAATCGCCTCTAAATGAATGCCAACCTTGATTTATCTTCTTATATATGAACACTACTAAATAGTACAATTAACTCTTTCTATCCCCTAAAAATGGAAAAAAGATAGTTCAACTAATTTGTTATGTTTTTTTTTCAATAACACATTTGTCGATAATTTTTTCGTTAATTTCAATAATCTGTTAATCAATCGTTTTGTTTACCTCCCATGTATATATATCTATATATGTATATTCAAATTGAAAAGGGGAAAAAAGTGATCGGATATTTTTCCAATAGTTGGACACTCTGAGTTCATGCGATTTTTATAATTTACATTTCTGTTAGTGTAATACTACTATTACTACTACTACTACTACTACTACTACTACTACTACTACTACTACTACTACTACTAATACTAATAATAATAATAATAATAATAATAATAATAATAATAATAATAATAATAATGAAACTTACTTGCTTACTTACGCCTGTTACTCCTCGTGAAGGAGCATAGGCCGCTCACCAGCATTCTCCATCCAACCCTGTCCTGGGCAATCCTTTCTAGCTCCGTCCAGTTGTAATTCATCGTTTTCATATCTGCTTCTATAATCCGACGCAATGTGTTCTTTGGCCTTCCTCTTTTTCGCTTCCCTTCAGGATTCGAAGTTAGGGCTTGCCTCGTGATGCAGTTTGACGATTTGCGTAATGTATGTCCTATCCATTTCCATCATCTTTTCCTAATTTCTTCTTCAGCTGGAAGTTGGTTTGTTCTCTCCCAGAGAAGGCTGTTGCAGATGGCATCCGGCCAATGGATGTTGAGTATCTTGCGAAGACAGCTATTTATAAATACTTGTACTTTCTTGATTGTGGTTGTTGTAGTTCTCCAAGTTTCAGCTCCATACAGTAGAATTGCCTTGACGTTAGTGTTGAAGATTCTCACTTTGATATTGGTTGAAAGTTGTTTTGAGTTCCATATGTTCTTCAATTGTAGGAATGCGACCCTTGCTTTGCCAATCCTCGCCTTTACGTCTGCATCGGATCCTCCTTGTTCATCGATGATGCTTCCCAGGTATGTGAAGGATTCTACATCTTCCAGAGTTTCGCCATCAAGGGTGATTGGATTGCTGTTCTCCGCTTTGAATTTGAGGACCTTAGTTTTCCCTTTGTGTATGCTGAGACCTACTGATGCAGAGTGCTGCTACACTGGCTGTCTTCATCTGCATCTGTTCGTGTGTACGTGATAGAAGGTCTAGGTCATCTGCGAAGTCCAAATCGTCTAATTGATTCTGAGCTGTCCATTGTATTCCGTGTTTTCCTTCAGATGTTGAGGTCTTCATAATCCAGTCGACCACCAGAAGAAAGAGTAAGGGAGAGAGTAAACAGCCTTGTCTGACTCCGGTCCTTACTTGGAATGCATCTGTCAGCTGTCCTCCATGCACTACTTTGCACTGTAGTCCGTCGTATGAGCTCCGGATAATATTGACAATCTTCTCAGGAACTCCGTAGTGTCGAAGAAGTTTCCATAACGTCCTCCTATCTACACTGTTGAATGCCTTTTCATAATCAATGAAGTTGATGTATAGTGACGAGTTCCACTCAACTGATTGTTCGACGATGATCCGTAGTGTCGTAATTTGGTCTGTGCACGACCGATCCTTACGGAATCCAGCTTGTTGATCTCGAAGTTGGGCATCTACTGCATCCTTCATCCGGTTCAGCAACACTCTGTTGAAGACTTTCCCTGGTATTGACAGTAGTGTTATGCCTCTGTAGTTTTCACATTTGCTCAGATCTCCTTTCTTTGGAATCTTGACGAGGTGTCCTTCTTTCCAG